TAGTATTCATCTCACTGTATCAAGGATGCCTGCCATGTGGGCCTCTACTCACCCTTCCATTTATTACCTGTGATAGCAATGGATAATAAATGTGGCACTCTTTCTCACTGAGCCTAGGAGAAGCCCTCAGAAGCCTTGCGGATGGGACGTCCTAAGCAGCTGCGTCCAATCCATCCATCAGTGTTAGGGGTGACGAAACCTTTTTGCTCTCTGTTATAGTGACTTATTCCCACGTTTAGAATCTAAGCCTCAGAAAGGCAGGCACTTTGTCCTGTTTGCTACTTCATCCTCATCAACTAGCTCTATGCCTGGCATATGGCAGGAGCCCAGTAAATGTTTGTGGAATGAGTGACTGACCTCCAGTGGACTGTGAGTTATTTGAGGACAAGGGCTATGTCTAGGTTATGTCTAGGACAGAGGAAGGGCTCCATGAGTGAAAGAATGAAATGAGTGAACACACCTCTTTATTCTGAGTTCAACGCTAGTATCTCTAATTAAGGGGGAGAAAAGAAGTCCTACGTGTTTGGTTGTGGATGTCACTTCACCAGATAGTTGCGTGCTGACATGGGGCAGTTGGGACTAGCAGGAATGTCATCAGAGGTGCATCTAGCTTTGGTTTCAAAGCACAAGGACACTTGTCTTTCCATTTAATTATCCAGCAGTCCCGACGAGTTAGTAAATTATCATTTCTGTTTTAGGGATGAGGAAACTGAGGCTTGAGAGATTTAAGACATTTGTTGAAGAGAAAGTGACAATTGAGTGCTGGAGCTAAATCCAGAACCTGGGTCTCCTCACCTGCAGGCCAGTGTTTTTTCTCTGGCCAGTGTCTTGCTTTTTCTGTCTATAAAGCATTGATCTGTGATTTGTCATATGCCATGTTTCGATTTGGGAGGTTTTTTGGAATCCTGTTCTTACCACTGTTTATAAGTATTAACTGTCCTGGGTGCAGCCGTTTTAGAACCTTTTGAGCTTCTCCAGTCCAGAGATTTTTAACCTGGAGTCCTGTGATGAGCTTAGGGCCCTAAGCTTGTGCACCACATCTTACATACATGTGCATTTCTGTGGAGAAGAAATGAGCTTGCATGAGATTCTCACAGAGGGGTGCATGGCCCAATAATAAGGTTAAGAACCAATGATCGAAGTCAACTGTCATTTTGCATATGGGGAAACTAAGGCCTATGCAAGGGAACTTTGCCAGGACCGTAATCTTTGACCAGAGATCGTATTTCTCCTATCAACAGAGGACTGATTATGGTGAGCAGCAACCTCAGCTACATCATCGAGCCCCTCCCTGACAGCAGAGGCCAGCACCTTATTTACAGATCTGAACATCTCAAGCTGCCCCCAGGGAACTGTGGGTTCCAGCACTCCAAGCCCACCACCAGGGACTGGGTCCTTCAGTTTACACACCAGACCAAGAGAAAACCTCGCAGGGTGAGTTTCAAGGCTCTCAGTGTAGGAGTCAACCTGGGGATGGACTTGTCCCCTCTGAGGACCCTTACTTTGAATCCAGGAATATTTCTAAATAGAAGGGTGGTGGCTAAGAAGGAGGAAATCGCTTTTTTCTTTTATTCTAAGTCATTGTTGAGTTTAAGATACCCTTAGAATATCTGCTTTTGGGGAGAACACTAGTACATTTTGAATATTCTGAGATACTGATTTCAGAAACTTTAAAAAGTGAAAAAATAAAATAT